AAGCAGAGGTACCCCGCCGCCGCGAGCATCAGCGCCAGCCGGCACGCGCGCTTGGGCGGCATGGCGATGGCGGTTCGCGTGGGCGTGGTGGCGGTCAGAGGAGGAGGGAGGTGGGAGTAGCCGTTCCGGAATGGGTCCGCGGCCGGGGCGGGGCGGGTTTATTGCGGACGGACGGAAGGAAGCGGGGGAGGAGTGCGGTGGCCGCGGGCGCGGGTCGTGTTTAAAGGCCGGGCCGGACCGGACCGTTGCGCCGGCGGGGCGGCGGCGGTGGGGATTCTGAGAGCGGCTGACAGCGCGCAACGGCTTGTTTCTGCGCCGTTTTGGCTGTATGTATGCCTGAACCGGAGTAGGTTCGTGCCAAAAAAAAAGAGGAGGAGAAAGGCAGGAAGAATGCGTGCGTGTGTGTCCATTTACACGTGACGTGCGCGCGCGCGCACACACACATAGGGCCTGCACGTGCGCTCTTTTGTGCGTCTGCTTGTTCTTTTGCTCCTGCGTCCACGGGTTGATTACTTTTTTTTTGCGCCCACGGGACTGATTTATCTTGGCCTCGAAGGAAAGGTGGCTGCCTTTGTGTTTGCGGCATGGCGTGGCGGCGTGGCCGTCCGTCCGTCCGTCGATGGTTGACGACGCGGCGACAGAAGGAAAAGGGAGGGGTCGGCGGGCCGAACCCGGACGGATGCGCACCACCGACGCGGAACGCACTGCTGGATGTGGCTGGGTCGTTGTGTTGCGTCGGGTCGGGGCCGCGTGTGGAGGCGGCGACTCACGCTGTGGCGTGTGGTGGACCGGGCTGGGCTGGGTAGTGGCCGGCCGGTAGGTTGGTTTGGTTTGAACTCAACTCAACTCAACGCTCAACGCGGCGGGCGGGCGGAGTCAGCTGCGCAGGTACGACTCGGCTCCTCCCAGTCCCAGAGAGAGACTGGTGGAAGGAAGAGTGGTCGTCCAGCCAGGGCCGGCCCTGAGGGGGGGCAGGGGAGGCGGCCGCCCCGGGCCCCCGATATCTTGGGGCCCCTCCTATCTGGCCAAGTTTAACATACGTAAGTTAAGTAATCTGGGCCTTGCTGGGTGAGGAGAAGAAAAAGGCAAAGTGGGCTTAGTAGAACCGTGCAAGTACGTGCTTTGGCAGCCTACGACACGAGTACTTTGATCATCCGATGGATCTAGGTTTGCGTATGGATTGCCTTGGGGCCCTCGTCTCCATCTTCACTAATCGCCTGCGCCACCGAGCGCTGAGTGCTGGCCGCCGGCCGCCGGCCGCCAGCGGACGCAGAATGCCCACCGAGCACAGGCTATCTCGGTCCTTGCCATACACACCATCGTTGATTTCAAATAAGGTAGCTTATTATGTCTTGGTGATTTTGGCTTATCTTTTGCCCTAGATATTTGCCATACGACCTTGTGTTAAGTTTTTAATTTGTACTTGTCTCTTTTATATTTTAGATCTACTATATCCGGTGGTGAGAAAAAAGAGATGAGAAAATGATTAGATGAGTTGATAGTATCACAGAGATCGTTCTGGATGAGCAAACTAACGCTAATCAAGAGATGATGAACATACAGAAGTCAACATTGACATCGCAGAATGTTGGAAGAAAATTCTAAGGTAATATTGTAAATGTTTTTGGTAACATTTCATATATGAAGTAAATATTCCATAGACTTATTATTCCATCCATCTCTATATCTAACAAGAATGAAGGTCATGTGTTACTTTTGTCCTTAGTCCAACCTTCCTACATCCTTCTCTTGGTTTTGTTTATCTCTCTCTCATCTTTGATTTTTCCCAATTAATTTTGCCAAAAAACCCTCAATTGTCCCAATGTATTATTAACTTATTATTATTAACATTTCTACTATTTATAAAGAACACAACGTTCAGTCTTAAGTTTGTCCTTTGTCCAACCTCCCTATGCCTCCTCCTAATTTTCATTTTTTTTTTCATATTTGGTTTCGTCCCACAAAATTTTCTTAAAACCTCCTTAACTAACCTATGTTTTACTGACCTACTATTTGGTAAACTAATTAGTGTCTTCGTTGCAATGCACAAAAAAATATCTAGTATGCTAATAGAAGGGCCCCGGTTTTTACTTTCGCCCCGGGCCCCCGAATTCTCAGGACCGGCCCTGCGTCCAGCCATCCATCCATCCATCTAGGCGTATCGTGTACGGTCAATGTGTGCCGTGCATCTGTCTGTCTCGCTGTTTCTCTTCGTGCTCGACGAACCTTCCCGCCCACCCGCCATATGGACCGGTCAGGCGGTCAGGCTTGTTTCTCTTCCTGCTTGGGTCGGTGCGCTACGCCAAGGACGCGGCCAAACGCGCGCGGCGCGGACCCGGCCAGCCATTTGCCGATGACGACGCCCGATGTCTACGTACAGTACGTGCGTGCGTTGCGACGGCTGGTGCAAACAGACGTCGCCATCGCCCAACCCAGCGCGCCTCACGAGCAGATCCATATTCTCCACTAGCCTGACCCTCCAGCGACATATACGTACGAACGGACGGCACGTAACGCGTGTGCCCATGTCCTCCCATGGACTGCTCGTCAGGGACACATGCACCCGTTTTTCTATTCCCCTTCCCCCTCTCCAGCCACACCCACCCTCGCCCCGCCCTAGCCGTCGCCACCGCCCCAATTTTTCTCGGCCATGCGATCTCCAGCATGGCCGCAAAGCCCAGGCCCTCCCCTTCGGAGCCCCCTTCCTCGACGCCCGGGCCTGTACAACCCCGCCCGCCTTATATTTAGTGCATTCGGCGGCCGAATTTGGAGCGGACCTACCCCGGTTTGAGCTCACCCCGGTTGCCGGAGGGCACGCACTGCAATGGACTGGTCGGGTACTAGACCACAAAGCCCTGGCAAGGCCCTCAGGCCGCATGCAGGTACTGAATCCGCCCCTAGCCGTTCGGATCGAACCCGTCGCTAGTTTGCCGGCAAATACATGAACGGCCGTCGTCCGGGCTCGGTACTGGCCCAAAGGCTCGTCGGCGCACCGTTGCCGCTCATAAAATGCGACGACTGTCCACGGAAGGTCTTGCGCCGCGTGTCTACAACGCCGAAACATCCTAGATGTGTGTTTCATCGATCGAGTGCGCAAACGATGGGGTATGTGCTAGTTTAGCTATGGTTGTGCTTTCGGATTCGGCTCGTTTTGCTTAAACTCATATGTGTATTGTGTAGGATAGATGCAACTTTTGGTATTGAGAAGACGAATACATCGATCTATTGACAGAGCGCAATTTAATAGATGTTCATGCACTTGTTGTTAGAATAGAGGCTAGAGATGAGACTAGATGCGAAGAAGCAACGTCTACTTCTTTAGACTTGAAGAAGAAAGAAGCACACAAGATCGAGACTCCGCAGATCAACAATGAATGCATCGAGAAGGCACCAATCCAACTATCGGGAGCGGTTATGGAAGTTGGATATCTTCTAAAATATCTTCTTGTGGTTCTTATTTTTTCTTTGGTCTTGATATCCTAGTCAAGATTTGGTGATGTGCTCAATGTATCAATAATCAATGACGAAAATAAAGATATGTGTTGCAAAAAAATGTATGCGGCCAAAATGCGGCCGCGCGTTGGGGGCACGACTGTCGCATCCAGAAATCCGGATGGACACTGCTCCATTGCCACTCCCAAGCGGACGAAAAGCGAACGAAATGGACGTCCATTTGGGGTCGTGCGTTGGAGTTGCCATAGGAGCATCTTCAACCACAATATACAAATTTGGCCCCTCAAACGCCCGCGGACTCGCCCTGTCAGCATCCGGGCATGTCCGCTTTGACTCCCTATTTTTCTGTTCACGCAACCATGTCCATCAAAATTTTCTTATATGTCTGGTCACATGCATGTAATTGCTGGAGAAGGAGAGAGAGAGAGAGAACAAAAAGAAATAATAAAGTAAGAAAAAATGCTATATGCGGGGGGGGGGTGCTAATCCTATGTGGCGGACGCAAGACCACTGACCGGGCACACCCGTACACTTCTCATATCATGCTATAGTTTTTTTGAGGCAATCATATCATGCTATATATGAGATGAATATGAGGGCCGCCGGACAGTCCGAGCATTTAAGAAGGCTTTAAGGGGTCCGGTTGGGTCAACTTTTTATTTTTCTCTTCTGTTCGGTCAATGGTTCCCGCCCCGCCTGGTCAATTTGAGGAGTCCGGGGGGTAGATGCTCTAAGTTGTGCAAAAGCGATCCAGCTGACAAGAGTCCAACTCGGGACGACGTGTAGACGTGATCGTCGGTTTCTTCAGGTTGTTTCTCTTTAAAGTGAGCTTAGAGCATGCCTAGTAGAGCCCTTAAACCCTTAAATCTAAAATCAGTTTTAAGGGTTGAGAATTGGTCATTTTTGATACTTTTAAGGGTTGAAAAACAGGGGCAAAGACTAGAACCCTCAAACCCAACCCTTATAACAGAATATTCCGTTATAAGGGTTGGGTTTGAGGGTTCTAGTCTTTGCCCCAACCCCAACCCTTAAAACTGTCATTTGACATATCACAATTTTCACTAGAAAAACACAATCAACCTTCAAACAAACACGGAAATGAAGATCATTGATGCATGGTTTAATAGTTTATATCACACAATCATCATCT